CAAAATATCCATAAAACCAGCCCATGATTCTTCTGCTAATTCCTTCTCTGCCACACCTACAATCTTTGATGAGGTTTAGGCAACAAATGGGTCAAGTTCAAACCTGTCTTGGATTCTACTTATTCGTATCAGTTGGTTATCTCTCACCCCAGACAGACTGTATTTCCATGGCATGGGAGCACCTCGGTGCTCTGCTGGCACAGCACCTAGCACAGCTCTGGGCACCAATTTATTTACTTTCTATTAAGCAATATGGTAGCAGTTCACCATTTTCAAAGCGTAAGTTAAAGATAGAGGGTACACGTGATGATTTCAGAAAGTCACACAGGAGGAGCTGACACAGGGAAGGACGAGGGGCTTAGCTGAGCCAAATATCTTGCCTTTCACAGTGGATATATGAGGCTACATTTGTCATCGAGGGTGCAATCCTGCACACACAGAGCTGGAGGAGGGGAGTCCTTCCTGACAACTGCACTGATTAGCTGGTGCCCTGAAGAATGACGTCTGATTACCTTTATCTTCGGCTGCAGAACTGCAAATGTCACTAATGGTCATAAAATCATCCAGTCTTTTTCAAAATACAACCAAAGTAAATTAATCTATTGAGCACAGTTTATTCAATACTTCTTACTCTGGCAAAACTCCCAAAAAATCATTTGCTTACTGCATGTCTCCACCATATGGTGTCATTCAATGCAGACTTTCTCTCCTGCATTGAAATCCAAAATTTAATGGAGTCAAGTCACCTACAGAGTTTTTCCAGCTCAAACCTACTAATGTAGTTTTCTGTCAAAGAGGTCACACAACACTTTCCGGTTTGATACACAAACCAATACCAGCATGAATCCTCTTTTCATAATTAAAATCAAAATGTTCTGGTTTCAGCAGGTTTGAAAGAAGTATTTTGCCCTGTGCTGAGAAGAGCCAATGCCCAGTACTGGACAATGTCAGCAGTCTCTGTCTGGTTTCAGAACTTCAAAGTCTTGGCAAGTGACTGGTATACTCTCCTATCTGCAGGTGATTTCTCATATCAACCTCACAGCAATCACTAAAACAAACCAAAAAACATGACATTGAACTGTACTGAAAACTAAAGTAGTGAGACACTTATAATACTTGAAAGCATTTTTAATGGGGCCATTTTAAATAGAGCCTTACTGCCAAGGAACGAGGGACAAAATAAAGAATTTCTAAGTATGAGGTACGCCTAGAGCAGGCAAGACATAGATGCTGGTTTTCCTAGAAACATGAGCTCAAGACCAGGAGAAAGATGACTGACTATGCATTTAGCTATGCTGTTATTTTATCCTCTTCACCAGATGTGCCTTATGTCAGCTAGGCACTCTGTGACTCAGTTTCCTCAACTATAAAACAGGGCCACACGTTGATAAATCTGGTTTTGACACAATGATGTCATCTTCAATCAATGGTTTTAGAAAAACACTGACCATCCTCTGGCCCCAGCATCCATGAATAACATACCATGTCTCTTGGTAAAGATTGTTATTACAGTGACAATAGGAAGCATTATTGTGACGAGGAAGCCACAAGCTCTGCTTTACGCAGCATTTCCCAAACTTTGGAAAGCAGCATATCCTTTCATGTCGCAGCCTCCCTTCGCCCTTGCCGTGCACCCACTGCAGATGCTGCTTAACGGTGCCAAAGACTTTCAGCACTACACATCTCTCATGCTTTGCAGTTTTATGGCTCATCCTTCCCGCCGTGCTCCAACTATGACCTTCCACCACCCCTGCCCCACAGCTGTGAGAAATCCTAGTATGCTCTGCAGAAGAAGACATTGCTCCTCCGTACTTACTCACTTGGATGAACACTGAAATAATTTAAATCTCAGCATTAACCCTCTTATCACTGCAGTTGGAGCAAGCGGTCGTTGAGGGGAGTTTAAGTGCTTCCCAGTGCCATCAGGACATGGCAGGAACGTGCTCACGGGCAGCTACCATGGTTCAGATGACAAGCAGTAAATTGTTACATCAAGCTGTCTGGATGATTTCTGACTGCTGACCCATACCCCCAGGCTGCCATAGCTGCTTTGGATGTATTTCCTGCTGTTTCAGAGTTTCTACCACAAACCATTATTCTGTTTTAGTGAAAGTTGAGAATCTAGAGAGATAGTGCATTGCTCTTCAGTCCTCTGTCCTGTCCACCCAGCCCACCAGGCACCCCAAAGTGCCACCCACCCTGCCTGAGAGACTATAACTCAAAAAAAAAAACTCCAAGAAGTGTAAAATAGACAAAGAGGCAGTAAAATGTTGTATCAAATAACACGAACACTGGCCAACACCCAGTCACCCTCTCTGCACACAAAGCGCCTGGATAAGAGCAGCCAGATCCCAGACTACACCAGCTTATCAGGACACCATAAGGCAGAAGAGCAGATCTGGCAGCTGCAAGCCAAATGTGTCCCACAAAGCACTGCACTGCTGCAGGCAGCTGCCCTCATCTTTACAGCAGATGTCCATCCTGTGATGGCTTTGGTGCCTGGTGTGACATTCTCCATCACCAACTCATCTGAAACAGAGCAGATCCCACAGGCTTCATCTCAGTCTTCTTCTCTGTGACCCAGCAGGTAGGGATGCAGCCAGAATTAACCCAGTGAAGGTGAGAAGCTGCCTTTGGTGCTCTTGCTTACAACTCTTCCTATGCATGAGTCCCTCTACTTGCATGAATCAAACTTATGTCCACAGGGCTCCTGGACAAAATAAGGCTTTACCCTTGGGAAAGCTCCTTCCCCATTGCTATTCCCTTCTGCTTGTGCTCTCTCTTCATGCAGCATCCTCATGAGTGGCTGCACATGCACGGCAGCTCTTTTTCACCACCCTCACCCACAGTTCCAACCCCTCCTTCTAGTCCTCCCTGCACTTTGCCAGCATCCCACTTGTCCCACCCCAACTACTTTGGCATTTAACCCAAATTGTTTCCAACACCTGGATGACCCTGATCCATTATCTAACTTTCCTCCAACCTCAGTTTAGACTACACTACACCCTCACCACCCCACCTGTCTCCCAGCACTGCCCTCCACCCAAGACACCCAGTTTTTGCCTTCAATCCATGCTACTACCTCTCAAACAATTTATTTCTCTCTTCCAACATTTCTTTTCTCCTTGGGATCTTTCTTTCTCTCATCAACATCAAAACTCCACTTCCAGTCATTCCCACTGTTTATTTTTATTTCTTCTTTTGAACCCAGACTGTCTCTCATCTTGCCAGCCCATGGCAGAAAACCCCAGAGCACACAACATCCCAGCAAACTATCCTAGCCAGCCAAACACTGACTGGATTTTCCCACTGACTCACTGGACTGTCCATCCCACCCAACTGGCAGTTTTATTTCAGCCATGGAGCACTGTGTCCTGAACATCTCTGAACACCTAACCCCTTCAGTCTCTCTCTGCCATGACTGATACACAGCCCTTTCTCAGGCTCTGTATCAAAAACCAACCCTTCCACCTCAGCAAGTTCTCTTCTAGCCCCCTCAATTTCTATAGACAGGATCCAAGTCCCAGGGTGGCCTCCTCCCACCTTGGCTGGGTTGTCTAGCTTTAGAGTCACAGCTGCTCCCAGACTCTTCACAGGCAATCTCTGAGCACTGCCTTCCATCCTTGTCAGGCTCTTCCATTGCTCCTTCCCTCCTCAGGCCACTGCCATCCTGGTCCCCAGCCCTCCCAAGTACCCAGCCCTCCACCACACCTTCCACACCTCGACTGAATCAACTCCAGGCATGCTGATTCCATCCCAACAAAGAGCCCCCCACAGCATCCTTGAGCCTCCCAGCCTCTGTCTAGACCTGATTCACAGAATCACAAAATCAATTAGATTGGAAAAGACCTCTGAGATCACCAAGTCCAACCTATGACTGAACACTTACATGTCAACTAGAGCATGGCACCAAGTGCCATGTATAATCTTTCCAATCTTTCCCTAAACACCTCTAGGGCTGGTGATTAAACCACCTCCCTGGCCAGTCCTTTACAATGTCCAATCACCCTTTCTGTGAAGAAATTCTTCCTAATGTCCAGTCTAAGCCTCCCCTAGCACAGCTCGAGGCTATTTCCTCCTGTCCTGTCACTTGGGTCACTTCTGCCTGGGAGAAGAGGCCGATCCTCACCTGTCTACAACCTCCTTTCAGGTAGCTAGAGAGTGATAAAGTCAGCCCTGAGTTTCCTCCTCTTCAGACTACACAATCCCAGCTCCTTCAGCCACTCCTCACAGGACTTGTGCTCCAGGCCCTTCACCAGTTCTGTTGCCTTTTTTGGGACTCAACCCCCTTTTTCGTGTCCCCCATAACATCTGCATGCTGCCAGGGCCCCAACCCCAGCCAGGAAGTTCCACGGCTGGAGGCCCCACACTTGCCCTGTTCTCATCCCTTTGAATGGGTGCCTGAACCTGCACAGCCCCAGCACCCAGGCAGGCAGGGGTGCACCCCAGGCGGGCACTCAGAGCCCAGGCCAGCCACACTCCCTGGGTGGGTGTCACAGGATGGCTCAGGCTGCAAGGGACCACAGTCGGTCATCTGCTCCAAGCTCCCGCTCAGGCACGGTCATCCTTGAGCACATGGCACAGGATCGTGTCCAGGTGGCTCTGGAATATCTCCACTGCGGGAGACTCCACTAACTCTGCGCAATCTGTTCCAGTGTGTGGTCACCCGCACGCCAAAGTTCTTTTTTGTATTCAGGTGGAATTTCCTGTGCATCACTTTCTGCCCGTTGCCTTTTATCCTACTGCCCGACAGCACCAAGCAGAGCCTGCCTCGGTCCCCCCGGTTCCACCGCCTTGGCACCCCCTCTCATGGCCCAAGGCCTGCCCGTGCCGCCACGAGCCCGGCCGGGCCCGAAAGACCCTCCGGCCCCCATCACGCCACGCTCCGCGGGGGGATCATCCGCGGCCCCAGGCGCCCCGGCCGCGCTGGTCCGGCCCTCACCCGCCCCGCCGGCCCCGGCCCGGCCCGGCCCGGCCCCGCTCGCCCCCGCCCCGCTCACCATCCTCGGCGCGGCCCGCGGTTACCATGGGCAACTGCGTCACACCCACCCCGCGCGCCGACGTGCCCGCGCCGGGGGAGGGACCAGCGATGGGACCGCCCACAAAATGGCGCATGCGTACTAGGGCGGCCCTGCCGGGGGGAGGTGGGCGCGGCCGCTCGGGGCTCTGTGATTGGCTGAGGGCGGCCACGCGTCGGAGCGCGGGGGCGGTGAGCGGCTCGTGGGCGGGAGAGGGGCCTGGGAGCGCAGGTGGGGCACGTGCGGACGCGCCGGGGCTGCTCCGGGNAGCCGAGCCGCGCCGAGCCGAGCCGAGCCGAGCCGAGCCGCGCCGCGCCGAGCCGAGCCGAGCCGAGCCGAGCCGAGCCGCGCTGCGCTGCGCTGGAGGTGTGCCGGGGCTGTGCCATGCCGGGCCGAGCCCGGGGTGTGCCGAGCTGTGCTGTGCCTTACAGAGAAGGGCAAGGAAATTGGTGAAAGGTCTGGAGCTCTAGTCTTATGACGAGTGGCTGAGCAAGCTAGGAGCGTTTAACCTGGAGAAAAGGCTCAGGGAGACCTTATTGCTGTCTACAACTACCTTTGAAATGAGGTTGTAGCTAGGTGGGAGTGGGCCCCTTCTCCCAGGAAACCAGCGATAGGATGAGAGGATATAGCCTGAAGCTGTGCCGGGGGAGGTTCAGGTTGGACATTAGTAAGTGTTTCTATACAGAAGCATGATTAGATACTGGAAAGGACTGCCGAGGGAGATGGCGGAGTCACCATCCCTGGAGGTGTTTAAGGAAAGACTGAACATGGCACTTGGTGCCATGCTGTATTTGACATGGTGATGTTTGGTCATAGTTTGGGCTCAGATAATCTCAGAAGCATTTTCCCGCCTAATTCATTCTGTGATTCTGTGCTGTGCAACCGTGGGCATGTGCTGCAGCAGCCGGGGGAGCACGTAGGGCAATGCCATGGCAGGGCAGAGCAGCGTTGGAGGGATGTGCAGGATGGTGCCGTGAAGGGCACAGCACAGTGCGGGGATGCTGTGCTCTGCACACTCGGGGCTGCAGAGTAGTGTTCCTGTAGGAGCGCCTGCAGGGCAGCCTTGTGGAGGGTTGAGCTGGGCCCTACAGTGCTGTGCAGCACCATCCCATGCCGAGGAGGGGGTGTGGGGTGCACAACAAGTGGGGCAACCCCAGGCAAGCAGGGTGGTGTGTGAAGGAGCGGCCTGGCTGCAGTGTTCTGCTGACAGCAGGAGTGCAGGGGCCTCCTGGGCTCAGGGCTGCTGAAAGTCCAGTTGTTCTGTTAAATATAAACCTGCCATGGCTCTCACCCAGCTGACTGCTCCTGTGGCCGTGGCAGGCGTGCACTCAATGAGCAAGCAAGGCAGAATCCTACTGAGCAGCCTTTTCCCCTGCCCAGACCTACACCAAGATGGCCACAGTTTCCCTTAGCTTCAACATCGACTCCCCACGCTGGGACCAGAGCACCTTTGTGGGGCGCCTGAAGCACTTCCTCAACATCACCGACCCTCGGACAGTGCTGGTGCCGGAGGAGGAGCTGGACCAGGCCAAGGCCCTGGTGGAGGGCTGCAGGTGAGAGGCAGGGATACAGACGGGGCAGGTGCCGTCCCTGTGTTCATGGCTGTCCCAACCACTGTGCAATGTTGCAGGGGATGGAGGCAGTCATTCTCAAGCAGGTATGCTGTGATGTAACGTCTGTTGGAGGTAGTTTTGGGGGGGTTTCCCAGGCTTCTCCCGGGAGCCTCAAGCTGTGACAGGCATCCTTCTCAGGAGCTCCTCTGCCTTTCCTGTGGTGCCCGGAGCTCTCTGCCTCGGTAGTGCTGGGTGCTGGCGGGTCTGTGCAGCTTCGCCTGATGGGCTTTGGGTTTGCAGGGCCGGGCTGGTGCCACCAGGAAGCAGCCAGGAGCAGCTGCTCTATGCCAAGAAGCTGTACGACTCAGCCTTCCACCCTGACAGCGGTGAGAAGATGAACCTCATTGGGAGGATGTCATTCCAGGTGCCGGGGGGCATGGCCATCACCGGCTTCATGCTCCAGTTCTATCGGTGAGCTCCTGGGTACACCAGGCTGGAGACACAGCCCTGACAGCCCCCAGCCCCTCTCGAGGTCCCTGATGGCCAGAGCACGGCCAGCCTGCCTCCTCTGGGGCTGGGTGCTGCCCAGGGCATGCCCATGGCTGCTGTGCTTGCCTGTGTCCCGTGGTCAAGCCCAGTGTCTCTGCGTGTCCCCAGCACCCAGCCTGTGGTAGAAGCATCACAAATCTCCCTGGCATGGCTGGGAATGGTCTCACCTGACTCTGAGATCAGCTGAGCTCTTCCCGTAGCTCCTGTAATGATTAATGCAACCAAATCCTGCTTGGCTGCTGCTCTTGGTCTGTGGCCCATAGCAGTCTTTGGAACTGAGGACCAAATGTGCCCCTAGGCCAGGCTGCTTCAGCATCCCCAGCCCCTGCTGACAGCTCCCTGCATTTCCCTTCTCCACCCCCTGCATTCCAAAGCGTGCTCCCTGTGTCCCTTCCTGCCCCACATCAGTGTCCCTGAGACACCAGTAGAAGACCAGGCACCCTCATTCCCCAGAGCTGCTTCTGTCTCCATGTGTCCCCTCCTTGCTGCTCGCTTTGACAAAGGCTTATCTCAGCCCAGCAGAGGATGGCTGCCACCCTGCTGTCTCCCAACCCTGCCCAAGTGCCTTGCAGGACTGCCCCCCCGCCCCCCNCCACTTCCTATGCTCCCCAGGGCAACCAGAACTCCTGGGATCATTTCCCAGCTCTGCCACTGGCTTGCCACTTTGCCACAGTTCCTCAGTTTCCCTTTGGAGACACCATGATGAGTGGATTGCAGGCATCTTGGCTGCCTCCCTGCCAAGCCTGGCCACAGGCACAGGCCAGGTGTCCCAGACAGCCCTCGGGTGCTCTCCCATCCCTTCCCTCCACAGGACAGTGCCTGCTGTGGTTTTCTGGCAGTGGGTGAACCAGTCCTTCAATGCCTTTGTCAACTACACCAACCGCAACGCTGCCTCCCCCATCTCTCTGAGGTGAGTGGGCCCCACAGGATGGAGTGTGTGCATTTGATGCACCCCCGGATGCCCTGTAAAGACCCTCTATGCCGTGTCTTGGGCACAGAAGGAACAGGGCTGAGTCGGAGTTGGTGATTCTGTTGTCTCCCTTCTTTGAAATCTCTGTCCAGGCAAATCGGGGTGGCTTATGTCACGGCTACCAGTGCGGCCCTGGCCACCGCAGTGGGACTCAACCTCTACACCAAGGTATGCCAGGCTAGGGCCAGGTGGGAGATCTGGGCACATCCTGCTCTCCCGTGCTGATGCCAACCTGTTTCCTGCAGCGAGCTCCCCCCTTGCTGGCCCGCTGGGTCCCCTTTGCAGCTGTGGCTGCTGCCAACTGTGTCAATATCCCCATGATGCGGCAACAGTAAGTGTCACATGTGGCTGGGGTGCTTGAGGGACCCAGCTCACTCCAAAGGCAAGCTGCTGGCAGCGAGTCTCCTGGGCTGCCTGGCCTCCCTGCCTTGGACTCCCCTCCTGGGAGCTGGAGAGAGGTGAACTGGGGTCTGTGCATTTGCAGTGCTGAGTCTGTGGTGGAGGGTGCTGGGTGGGATGGCTCAGCCTCCACCTAGAGCAGGAGGGGGATTTTTGGCTGAGGATAGCTGCTCTGGAATCTGTGCTGGAAGATTCCTGAGACTCAAAGATCTCCTGTATGGCGTGGGAGAACACCAGTCCATGATATCTTGATGCTCTCCCCAGTTGTGGTCGTTGTGGTGACCTGTGTCTGCTGCTTGGGGTTCCCCACAAGACACGGCACAAGGAGCTCGGGTACCGTGTGAGGGACTGTGCCCTGGCTCAGCTGTGTATCCAGGCAGTGTCTGTCCCTAGCACGGCCACATCCTGTGCCCTGGCTCAGCTGTGTATCCAGGCAGTGTCTGTCCCTAGCACGGCCAGACCCTGCTCGCAGCTGCCCTGAAGATGGCAGCATCGGCTGGGCTGGGGACCGTGTGCCCCGGGGTGCTGGAGCCCCGTGCCCTGGGGGCATTGGGGGCTGCTGTGTAGAGAGGACTCCCCTGGCACCCCCTCATCCCGCTGCTGTGTCTTTATGCTTTCCCGGCCATCCCGTCCTCCACTCAGGGCTGCCTGTCCCCTTCAGGGAGATCATCAATGGGATCACAGTGACAGATGAGAACAACAATGAGCTCGGCCGCTCCAGGGTGAGTCTGGCGATGGGGGTACGGGTTGGGGCACGGCGCTGCCAGGGCTCACCTGCTGATTTTGCTTGCAGAGGGCAGCAGTGAAGGGCATCGCACAGGTTGTGATCTCCAGGATCACCATGGCAGCACCGGGCATGAGTGAGTGCGGGGCAGGAGGGTGTGCAGCTGAACTGGCGACTCTCCAGGACCCACCACCGTGCCCTCCCCTGCTTCACTTTCCCTCATGAAAAAGAGGGAGGGTGGCCCTGCATCCCAGATGGCATTTGCTCTCCTCATCCAGCCATTCCCATCAGACATCCCCAAGCCCCCAGCCCCCTCCATGCCAAACCACAGCCCAGGGAACAGGGAATGCTCCTATGGCAGTTTGGCCTCACAAGGATGCATCTCATGCTCTCTGGCCCTAGCCTCTCACCCTGCACCCCGGCACCCCCTCTGCTCCTGCGACCCTTGACATGCTGCAAGCCCAGAAGGAAGGACAGGAGCATGAGGAGCACAGACCATGCTGCCTGAGTTATGGATGTGTGGGGGTCTTGTGTCAGGTCCTTGCTGTCAGCAAACACCCAGTAGCCCCCAGCATAACTAGCTGCTTCCATGGCCTCCTGGTGGATGGTCCTGCTGGGACAGCCCTGCAGGCTGGCTAGCAGGATAGCTGTTCTGGGATCTGGGCTGACCTTTGCTTTCTGTGCCTAGTTATTCTGCCCATCATCATGGAGCGGCTGGAGAAATTCACCTTCATGCAGGTGAGTGCATGTTTCTCCTGCCAGTGGGTTCTGTAGTGCTCCAGCCCAGCTTCCCTGCTGCTGATATGCTGGGGATCAAATGGGGATTTGCAGAGCCTGGCTTGCTTTGCTCCCTACTTCAGTCATTGATACACCAATGGCCTCTCAAGTGACATTGGGGAGGCTGTGGGAGAGTGGCAGGGTTTGGTGCACACCAGAGGTGTTGGGCATTCAGCCCTGTTTAGGGGAGAAGTCTGTCCATCCTGTGAGTGGGCCTTGTGGTGATGCCAGGGACTCAACCCTGGCTCTTCTCTTGCAGCGGATCCGGGTTCTCCACGGGCCTCTGCAGGTGTTGCTCTGCGGGGGCTTGTAAGTATCTCACTGTTCAATCACCTGTGAGTGCCTGGAGTATGGCTCCAAAGAGATGCTTGAAAAACTACTTCTTTCCCAGAAGAGACTGGAAAACTGCTTACCTTTCTGCTTGGGCTTTCCCCAGTTATTGGGAGTCATGGGGTGTGAGCAGCACTTCTTGGGCTGCTGAAATCCCTGTGGCTGGAGGGCAAACAGGCTGGGATGCACAAGACTAATGCTCTGCTCTTCTCTGTCCCACAGCCTCCTGTTCATGGTGCCAGCAGCCTGTGCCCTCTTCCCCCAGCGATGGTACCTGTTCCACTGCTTATCCCTCCTGCATGGGATCTCGGGAGCCTTCCTCCTTCCCTAGTTCCTCTCTGCCCATCCCAGGAGAAGCATGATGGGCACCCACCCTTCAACCCAAGGCAGTGCCTGCCTGTACACACTGCTGCCCAGGGCAGCAGGAAAAATGTGCCTCCCCTGCTCTGTGAGCTCTGTGCTGGGAGCAACAGGACACCCAGCTCCATGGGCAGCTCTCTGCCTTCCAGCATTGGGAGGGAGGGGTGGTGGGTCTTGCCATGAGCCTGCAAGATCCCAGGGACTGCAGAGGCCTCAAATGGCAATGGAAAGGGAGGGTGGTTTGACTAGTGGTTAGGGGGGAGGATCATGGCTCTCAGTCTGTATCTCCCTTTCCACAGCTCCCTTGCACTGGCTGACCTTGAGGTGGAGCTGCGTGACAGTATCATGGCCAAGCACGGGGACAAAGTGCCATATGTCTATTTTAACAAAGGACTGTGAATGGAGACTACCTCAGGAGCCATCACACCCCTCTGGCCTCCTGCCACCACCATTCCCACATTCCCTGAGCAGGGTCAGAGGCACAGTCCAGCCCAGCTCCCCACCCCAGCACCTTCTCTGCAGCTTTCTTCCACTGTAGAATCAGGATCTGACTCTGTGTGTCCAGCTTGCAGCACTTTGGCTTGTCCTGACCCATGCCCATCTGCTGCTGGCCATGTCTCAGCCTTTCCATGTCCCTCTTGCCCTGAGGGATGCCTGCGCTTCCTGTGCCTTCCTTTGGCCCAGCCTGTCTGGGCCTCACTGGGTTTGGCCCCAAGAGGCATGAGGCCCTCTCCCTTGGGGCTCAGAGCACAGTTCTACCTCCAGAAGCAGATATCCTGCCACTGTACCAGCAACCAAAGCACATTCCTGCCTTAAACTACCACAGTAGCTTCTTCCCAAGAGATGGATCATGTCTTGGCAGGTGTGAAGGGACCTGTTCTCTCTGCACCATGAGAGTGAGCATACCAAAGTCCAGAGACCAATGCTTGGACTATGCATTCCTTGCTCTCAGGTTCAGGTTCTATTCACTCTGTGTTTGCCACAAGCCGGAAAAGAAATAGCTAATTGTTTTTAGCTCTATTTTTTTCATTCCTCTGAGCACTGTCACCCTTGTCCTACATCTCTGATCCCCACAATGAAACCATGAAACTGCAGCTTTAGGGGACAATTGTCTCTGTGCCCCCTTTGACATGGGGAAGAAGACACAGAAATCACACAATTGTTAGGGTTGGAAAAACCTCTGGAGATAATCTAGTCCAGCCCCCCTGCTGAGGCAGGGACAGTGGAGCAGGTTACACAGGAATGTATCCAGGTGAGTTTTGAGTATTTCCAGAGAGGGAGACTCCACAACCTGCCTGGGCAGCTTGTGCCAGTGCTTTGCCATCCTCAATGTAAAGAATTTCTTCCTCATATTGAGGTGGAACTTCTTGTGGTTTATGGCCATTTCTTGTCCTGTTGCTGGGCACCACTGAACAGAGCCTGGCACCTGCCCTTGGCACCTGCCTTTGAGACATTTATACGCATTGATGAGATCCCTCTCAGTCTTCTCTTTTTCCAGACTGAACAGACCTGGCTCTCACAGTCTCTCCTCATAAGAGATGCTCCAAATCCCTCATCATCTTTGTGGCCCTCCACTGAACACTCTCCAGTAGCTTCTGTCTTTCTTGTCGCAGAGCTGTCAAGGCATTCACTCAGGCTCTGAATTCACTCAGTGCTGATGCACTGCAAACAGCAGAGGAAGGTTGAAAAATAAATGTGGAGCTTTTTAAAAACCAGCTGTGGGTTGTGCTTCTGGCTGATCTCTGTTTCTGGTTCTCTGGGCTGGGCTGGTACGTGGATCTCATGCTTGCCTTGGAAGGGAAAAGTGTGGGCTTTGTGACCGACCAAGCATCAGGGTGAGGGTGAGCAAAAGGGCCAGGAGAAGGAGGAGGAGTGTAGGGGATGGCATGAGCTCTGAACCCTTGGGCATTCAATGGCAGCCTTTCCCAAGAGGTCCTTGGGGCTGCAAAGTCCAATGGCAAGTGACAAAGGTGATTGTGCTGTGCTCACAGTGACAGTCATCCTCTTCCGAGGCCTGGGAGGATGACACTGGGTGACCCTTCCTACACCTATGGGTGCTGTTTATCTTCATGGCCAGGCAGAGTTTCAGGATGCTATCTTGGGTCTGCCATGAGGCTGCTCCCACCCCAAAGGAGAGCATCTTGAGTGTGCTGCAGCCTAGTTTGGGGGAGAAAGGATCCCAAGTCCTGCACTAAAGCCCCTGTTTTCAATCAGCTGCATCCAGGCTCTCTGTTTGCTGATGAACATCCCTTGGTGGGACAAGTGTGTTTCTAACAAAGCCATATGATGTGGCTGCTCCAAGAGTCCCATGGCCCAGTGGATGATCCGTGCTCCTCCCTCCAGTCAGGCATCCGTGTCAGATCTCTAGGGCAGCAGCATTCCCACATCAGCCACGTGCCTGAGTAGAGACACATTACCCATTCTGCTCCTTCAGAGAGAGCAGCCAAACCCAAAAGATGCTTCTTGAAGCGCCAAGCTGTATCCACAGCAGGTTTGCTTCTGCCAAAGCTGCAACAGGCAAAGGATAACGTCTCCAACCACATGTAGCTACTGCTAGAAAGCTGTAGAAGAGCTCTGAAATAATTAACAGCAGAGCAGAAAGTAGGAAAACATGTTCAAACTTGTATATCAGTTCCCTGGGCATTATTAGATCTCTTGTTAAAGCACAATTAAAGTAATAGATAAGCACATGAAATGACACAGATGTCACTCCTGCTGGGAGTGGAGAGGAGCTACAGGGGGACTGCCCTCTGCTTTTTTTAAGCTCCTTAGCTCACACTGCTCTTGTCCTACACCCAAAACAGCTGTGAGGATTTTCAGAAAAGTACCTGTAGCAGTCTTTTGGGTCCAAGGTGCCTCTGGCATGCTTGGGAGCATGGTGATGTTTGTAAAATGATGTGCTGTAGCACCCAAAAACTGCCTTTTTCCTGTTCTTGCTGTTCACCCCTCCTGCCTTGGCAGTCTGGAGGGGTCCTGGCAGGGCAGGGAGCTCCGTAGGCAGTGATTCTAGGACAGCAGCCACACAAAGCCAAACTTGGGACCATGGCAGCAAAGCCTCAGCTGTTTGGCCACTCTCTTTTTTCCTGCCCTCAGCCATACTGGAGGGGCAGTGGAGCACAGAGACCCCCTGAAGTGCTATTGCCATCTCGCATCAGCTCTTCCCCTGCCCTGGGGAGCGGGACATGGTGCAGTTTATTGCTTATGGACAGAGTAAGAGGTTTGCTCTGGGCTTATAGAATTGGCAAGCCATGCTCAAGACAGAGCTTCCCTCCAGCCTCCCTGAGCTTATAGCAGTGGATTCCCTCTTCAGATCAACATGGATTTATGCCAGCTGACAGTTCAGCTCAGCAGGGTTTCTAGGTTTCTAGGTTGTAGCTGGAATCTCCCCCCGAGGATTCAAGTCATCTCAACAGCTCACATCACTCTGGACATGGTCACTGCAGCCAGTGCCTGCCAGCCCTCCCCGAAACCACAGTAAGTCCGCAGCCTGCCTGGCCTCACTGGGGAGCAGAGGAGTTGCTGCCAAGCTGTGGCCAGCCTGGCCTCCATTTCCCATTTGAACAGGAAGGAAACCTCATTGCAAAGAGTCAGAGCCAGAAGAATCCCTGCTTGGGAAGAGCAGCAAGTGCTAATTGCTCTCCAACAATGAGTCACATCTGATCTGGGCTTGTCCTGTGCTCCTGTGAACTCCATGCCTTCTCCCTGCTGTGCCTCTAATTTCAGGGCTAGCTGGGAACAGGAACAAAGCTCCTTCAATAACTGTGTGTGGCGGAAATGTCAGTGTTCCAGCATGTTTACAACCTCTCTTCAAATGGTAACCACACCAAAGATGTCCCGTTGGTCTGCAGCAGAGCCTGAGCAGGGGCTGGGGAGGCTGCTGGGCTCCCTCAAGCACTGGCAGTCCCAGCGGGAGGGCTTGGCCAAGGGCCGCTGGAGGCCGGGATCTGGCTGCCAGGGGAAGGGGAGTGAGCACGGTGAAGATGTGATGGGTGAACGCCTGCTGGCCCATGCCAGCAGCAGGTGGGTGAGCTGATCTTGACAGAAAAAAGCCAGGGCAGGAGATAAGTTGCTAAATCAATTATTTTTTCGGGCCTTTCTTAACGTGTTATCTGAGCATCTGATGATGAGCATCATCATGCCAATCCGGCATGGAGGGTGTCTGGTACGCTGGGAGTGGCAGTGCAGAAACCCTGTGACACTGCCCCAGGAACACGGGCTGTCTCTGCCGAGCTCTGAATCAATGCCAAGTGCTGGTGCCCCTACTCCGGCTGGGAGTGTGCACGATCACTGTGTGGGGACATGCTGGGACATGGGGGAGATCCACAGGGGAGATCCTCTTCTCCATGCTGCTTATATCTGCCACTGGTGCTGGCACCAACAGATTGCTACCCAGTGATCCCAGTGCCATGCTGCTGCTGCCATCCCAGCACCCTCTCCATGCCGCACTTCCCGGTGCGGTGCCCCAGCTCCGGGCGGGCTCTGGGCGTTTGGGACAATGTGAGCGCTTTGGGGAGGAGGCTGAGCAAGGCTCATACTGAGCAGGAGTGACCAGCTGAATGGAGGATGAGTGCCTGGCGGCCACAGGGAGGCTGTGGGTCTGTCTGTGTCTGTCTGTATGTCTGTGTGTCAGTGTGTGTGCGAGCAGCCCCCGCACCCCTCTCCAGCCAGTTCCGCCACTCACACCATGGCGGCCCGAGTAGGCCCGCAGGCTCCCTCCCTCTGTGCCACACTCAAGATGGCAGCTCCCTGCGCGCAGACCCCGCCTCTCCCGGTTTTGCCGTAAACGACATCGCGCTGAATCAATGGCAAGCGGAAAGCTGCGCCGGCCGCCCAATAGAGGAGTGCCGAGGGCGGGTCCGGGCGCGGGGTGCCCCTGGGCTCCCGTCCCGGGCCGCAGTCGGGCCGGGGAGGCGGGAGCGGGGGGTGGGGGGGATGGCGAGGAGGCTCCGCGCCGCCATGGCCCTGCTGCTGCTCCAGGCCCTGCCCGAGGGGCTGCCCGCCGGCGCGGAGCCCGCCCAGGTAGGGGGGAGCCGCTCGGAGGGGTCTGGGGTCGCGCCGTGCCGTGCCGGGGGGCTGCGTCCCTTGGAAAAGGGGCGGCTGTGAGTGCGGGGGGCTGCGCCGGCCCCTGGGGCAGGGGCTGCGGCGGAGCCGGCCGGGTGTGCATGAGGTGCCAGGGGGAAGAGGCTTTTGGGGGCCCCCCTAAGGTTTGGGGAGCCCCGTGACTTGAGTGAAGCTGGAGGAGATGCAGAACCCTGGCTTTGGGGGTTCCTGTGTAATGCGGAGATGGAGAGATGGTGTAGGGATCCAGGCACGGGTGGCAGTGCCGCTCGCAGGGGCTTTGTGCGGCAGAGTGGCTGCAGGGCGAAGGGGAAAGTGTTTGACTGGACACCGAGGGAAAGGTGCTGTAGTGAGCGCAGGAGGCTGGAGCTGGCAGGTGCGCAGGGGCCTGCGGGTGGAGGTGCAGGTGTCTTTTGGAGGTGGTGACAGGGAGCAAGGTGACCTGTGAGGGGACGGGGCTGAAGGAGGTTTGGAGTGAGCTGGAGGGTGGCAGTGGGGCAGAAGATGTGGGTCAGCAGGAAAGTGGGACTTGTGTGGTGCTGGCCAGGACAGGTGAGCTGCTCTTCCCGCAGCAGGAGCGGTGGAGAAGGAGCTTCGGCGCAAACCTGTGGGCAGTGGGAAGGAAGAGGGAGCGTGTTACAGCTGGGATGAGGGGAACCAGGCCTTGTCTTTGTAGGCTCTGACCACCTGGCTACTACTTTTGTCATGCCTGGGAAGGGTTTTAACGAAGTTGGCTCCCTCTTTTTCATCTCTTTACTCTGTTTCCTGTCTATGCTACAATATGTAGTGTTCACATCTCCAGTGGTGGTCTTGAGTCCAGCAGTGTAGACACGTGTAACTTCTCCCACCTTGATGTGTATGTTCAGTGACGCTCAGTGAGGACTGCGCTCAGCCAAGCAACCTGTGCACGACCTGGATCTTATGGTTCATGGAGTCATTATGTCTTTTTCACCCCGTGGAGAGCATGGATGGAATATGATGACTTCTGGTTTGATATGGTGTATTCTGTATAAAGTACAAATTGCAGTTTGCATTTGTTGAAGGTCAGAGATAGTGAGATGCTGATCTGTGACTGCAGGTCACAGGTGTCATGGGGTGCATTGTGCTTAATGTCAAAGGGATGCAGATGGATGTGTCCTTCTGGAAGGCAGCCACTAAAATACTTCTCAGTACTTCTGCAGGAGGAGGAGGTGAGGAGTTTGTTGACGATTACAGATGTTACACCTCTTTTGAATTCTGTTCTTCTTTTCAAGGTGTTGAGAGCACCAGATCTACTTTAAAAGCTGTGTAATTCACTGTTGGTAGAGCCATCCCAAATCTACTTCAGCCACACTAAGGCTGAGGCTTGGCTGGTCCTGCCCTAGGGAGCCATATGCAGGATTGTGTTGAACTGTGTGTTTTCCACATTGTCTCAACTGCCTTTAATAGATGGAAGTCCTGGTGCTTGCTCCATTTCACCTGCAGGCTGAGGTACATAAACTAAACATAAACAAGCACATCTCAGAACCATTTTGCTCTCTGGTCGTTGTGGTACCCAGCTGTGAGCAGTGGTCAGGTGGTAGGATTATCTGTATGGTAGCTGTGAGTCTCTACAACCCTATACATGCTCATAAAAATATCATACTTGCTTTGCAGACTGTGTAAGATGCTC